GAAAACATACTTTTAGCCTGAGAAGAATAAAAGTTGTGTATAGAAATAATGTAGCAAATCAAACAGGTAATTTTAATACTTTTGTATTAAGGAATTTGCACATATTTGGAATTTTAAATATTCATTACATATAAAAGAATTTGTCATATTTGATTGTCTAACAAATAAATTTGTGATTCTAATTTTAATGTGTGATTAGATAACTGATTTAGACTTGTAATCATAGATTTAAATATTATTAATTTGTAAAGAGCATTGAAACATTTAGGAAAGTTTAAGATTCAGCATATTCAATATTTTAAATATATTAAATTAATAAAAATTCCTTAAGTATCTGAGATTTGTTGGCCCTAAGACAATTGAAGTACTTAAAAATCCAAAATATTAAATCTATAAATGTAATTTAAAGAATTTAAAGAAATTTAATTGTTACAAAAACTCACTTAAAAGTAGGTATTAAAGTTTCCTAGACTTAGAATAATAAAATATATAATCTAAATGTAAGAGCTTAAGGTGAACTAAAGTTTTTAAAAAATTTTGTAACATATTTGAATGTGAATGTTTGAAATGAACCTAGACTGAGTAATCTTCTCTATGTCTAAAAGAAACTTTAAAAAAAACTCACATTGCTACCTTATACATGTCTCCTGGTACACATGTGCAAGAGAATCTCGACATATTCCCATGACCCTTGCATAAGAATTCCTAGTTCCCTACAACTCTGCTAATACTTGATATTGGCTAATATTTTAATTTTTGTAAATCTGATCAATATGAACTGGTATCTTGTATAATTTTAATTGCACATCCCCTCATTATTAGTGAGAATGAATATTGCTTCACAAATTTATTTGATAATCTAGTTTCCTCTACTCTGAGTTAATATTTTATATGTTGCCTATTTAAAAAATTGAGTTCTTATTGTTTTGTAGGAGTTCTTTATACATTTTGGATATTAAATGTCTTTTATATATCTTGGAAATTTCTTCCTCAAATCTGTTTCATTTAACTTGGCATACGGAATCCTGAACAGAAAATGTTAATTTTGACATAATAATCATACACAGAATAATTGAGATTTATTGAGAGCTTACTATGTGCCAGCAACAGTTCTAACCACTTTGCACATATTCACTCAATCTTTTTTTTTTTTTTTTTGCGGTACGCGGGCCTCTCACTGTTGTGGCCCCTGCCGTTGTGGAGGACAGGCTCCAGACGCACAGGCTCAGTGGCCATGGCTCATGGGCCTAGCCACTCCACGGCATGTGAAATCTTCCCAGACCGGGGCACGAACCCGTGTCCCCTGCATCGGCAGGTGGACTCTCAACCACTGCGCCACCAGGGAAGCCCTCAATCTTTCTAACAACCTTTGATTCTGGTATCAATATTATATCCATTTTACAAATAAAGAAAAAGAAAAAAATTGAAAAAATTAGGGGATTTGGGGTGGTCATTTAAAAAAAAAAATCTATCCTTGACCTTAAATGTATTATCCTACATTTTCTTCTAGGAGTTCGTTTACTTTTCACAGTCTTCAGTCCATTTGGAGTTCACCATTGTACAAAATGTGAGATGGGGATCTAATGTTTCCCCCCTATGTCACTTCTAGAATTGTAAACCTTAAATGGCTTTCCATAATCTATAGAATAAAGTTCAAATTCCTCATCATGGCTGTCATATATTTTCTGGTCCCAGATGGCCCAACTGGCCCTTTTCTTGCTTTTATCTCAAGCAATCTCTTTACCAGTCAAAAAAATCTACTCACCATTTCCACATGAAAAGTGCCATGGACCTTTTCAATTCCATATCTTTGCTTAAACCCTTCACTCAGCCTGGAATAACAATTCTACTCTCTTGTCTACAAGAGAAAATCCTAGTCCTCCAAAACACAGTTGAAATTTAATCTCCTGTGCGAAAGCCTTCCCCATAGCATTCTTATTTTTTCCTTTTCTTCTTCCTATTCTCCTTTCAAAAGTCAACTGTTGCCCTGCTCTGTGCTCCTATAGGAGTTTGTTTATTTTGTTCTTTATGACTCGATTATGTTTCTTAAGCATATGTTGCTTCTTTCTTAGAAACTATATTCTTTTTGTTTATAGGTTTGTTCATTCACACATCTGTTCAACATTTGCTGAATGCCTATTATGTGCTAGCGCTATGCTAGATACTTGAACATACAATTTTCAAGCAGCTCAAACTAGTAAGAAAGACATGTATACAAAATATTATAATTTATATTGATAAACTGTTGTAGTACTTGATAGGTCTTGCAGAAAAATATATGTGATGAAAAGAATCAACATGCTAATGCTTACAGATTCCCTTCTACCAGTACACCAACACATACTAAGAAAAATTTTGAAACAATTCAAGTCTCCCTCCCCACTGCCCCAAGTTCAGAGCTTGTGGGCAAGTTCTTAGAGCTCTTTTGGGATAGAACTGAAAGAATTACAGAGACAAAAAGGGATGGATTTAGGCCTTGAAGCTATATTTAGGGTTTGAGAGATATGGACAGAAGAAGAAAAAGGAGTACTATGAACTACATATTTGGATCCATTTTAATGTTTCTTTGAGAGGCTTAAATAAAGAATAGAATTCTCTTTTAATTTCTTTAGGTTGTTGAGCTGTGTATCTTAAACAAGTTCCACTGTGGGCACAAACATCCCATCCTCTTAAAATATCTTGCATTCAGTGAATGTGTGAGAACTTGAAAATATTAAAATGTTTTATATGGAAAAAATAAGCCATTAGGGTTGCACATCTCAGAGCAGACTAAAATTGTTATGTAAGGAGACCAATGTATTTTTAAAATTACTTTGTGTAGTGTAATGATTTGTAAAATGGATAAGTAAAAGACTAAAATTCATTCATGATACTACCCCTAAAAAATAATGCTTCTAATATGTTGAATTTTTCTCTAGTTTTTCAACGCATATTTATGCAAAAACATCTATTGATTAACTACTACAAGCCAGATACTGTACTAGGTCACAGGGATATAGCCCAGAGCAAAAGAGACAAAATTCACTGTTTACGTGGCACTTATAATCTAACTGTGGAAGACTAGCAATTAACAAAATAAATCAATAAAGAATATGGTGTATACCAAGTAAGTGTTACTACAAAAAATAAGTTATGGAAGAGTATTGAATAGGGAGTGTGGGCAAGAGTAGAGGTTGCAATTTTAAATAAGGTGGCCAGTGAAGACTTCACTAAGAAAGTGACATTTCAGCAAAGACTTGCAGTGGGTAGAGGAACAAACTGTGTGGATTTTAGGGAGAGGGAATGACAAGTACAAAGTCCCAAGCAAGCTAGTATGTATGTAGGTAGGTATTCTCTGTTTGTTTGCTTGCTTGTTTGTTTGTTTAACATTTATAGTCCATATGGCTGGGGCAGAACTGCACCTGTGACATGTGCCCCAAATCTAATCAGCACATCTGACTTTCCTGGTCATATTTCCCTCTGGTTGGATATTTAGATTGTTTCCTTTTTCTTTTTCTCTTTTCTTCTTTCCTTTTCTTTCTTTTTCTTTTTTCCTCATCCCATCACAAAATACGCTATAACTAATTTCTTTGATTGCCTTTATGAATATTTCTGTAGGACAGAGTCCCAAAAGTAGACAATTCTGGTTCAGATTGCCAAATTGCTTCCAAAGAAGTTATACCAATTTCTATTTCAACCATCAGTATAGGAGAGGACCTATCTTATCAAATGTTTGCCAGGAATAAGTAGTCCAATTTAAAAAAACTTTGTTAATTTGATGTATGAGAATGGTATCACATTTTAATATAACAATTTTTTATTAGTGAGGTTAAATTTTTAAATATATTTACTAGCCATTTTTTATGAATGAACTGTTCCTGACCATTACTCACGCTTCTATTGGAGTCTTAATGTTTTTTCTTATTGATTTGTACATATTTTTAATATTTTTAACATGTTGATATATTCATGATAATAATTACCAGATTACTCCTTAAAATAGAAATTTAAACATAAACAGAAAAAATTGAAAAGCTGTCTTGAAAATAATGGGCATCTATATGGTATATATACAATGGAATATTACTCAGCCATAAAAATATAAATTTTGCCATTTGCAACAACATGGATGGACCTGGAGGACATTATGCTTAGTGAAGTAAGTCAGAGAAACATAAACACTATATGTTTTCACATATATGTGGAATCTAAAAAATAAAACAAATGAATGAATGTAGCAAAACAGAAACAAGACTCATAGATACAGAGAACAAATTAGTAGTTACCGGTGGGAAGAGGGGAGGGGAAAGGAGCAGATAAGAGAAGGGGATTAAGAGGTACAAATTACCAGGTATAAAATAAATAAGATACAAGGATATAATGTACAACACAGGATATATACCCAATATTTTATAATAACTTTAAGTATACTCTATAAAAATATCAAATCACTATGTTGTACACCTGAAACTAATATAACATTGTAAATCAACTATACTTCAATTTAAATTTTTTTTAAAACAATAAATAAGTAAATATATAATTACATAAATAATTCTTAAAATAATGGGCATCTAGTAATACCGATTTGCTTGCCAAAGTTTTACAACAAAGTTTTGATATTTGAAAATCAGAGTAAGGGAAGAGGATAATGCTAAACCAACAGAAACAAATGCCAATTTCAGGAACACTGGATAATATCTAAAAATATTTCTTGTACAAGTCTTTGAATATTTGCAGTAAGCAGTCCCAACCATATACTAGGGACAATTTTAAGTTCTTTCATATAATATTTATAATTATTCTGCCCAACAACATTATTTAACAGATAGAGAACGTGAGACTCAAAGAAAATAAGCCTAGTAGGGGCCACGCCTAGTAGGTAGCAACTCTTGGGACTTACATTCTTTCCATTGCACCACACTTAACATATGTTTAAGAAATGTAAATCTCTTCCATGACACAAAATTACAACTGAATAAAATCATAGAATGACATAAATTTTGACTTTTGAGTCTTACCCGGTTAGAGTCCAAAGCAGTGGGCATATTTCTTAATTCATACACAGCAACTTGTCCATCACTGTTTCCCACCAGAAGGCAATCTGTTTGCTTAGTGAAGAGAACAGTTGTGAACTTGATTCCAGGGTTAGCAACATTCACAATCAGAGGGTCCAAACTGTAATGAAATAGTTTATTTGTAAATTTAGTTGTTGTTAATATGTTCTTTTTAGATACAGACTAAGAAAAATCTGAGATATTTGTGATTTCATGTAACAAAAACCAAAAGCTTCTTTATGTGTTTCCAAAAGCAAAAAAACTGCTTCTGACTCTTCATTCAATCAAAACTTTCATTTTTTCAATAAACTAATTTCAACTAAATAAATTAAAGCAGTTCACAATTAAGATGTGAAATCATAATTTAAACTCCCATGATGGGTAATTTTATGCATTAACTTGGCTAGGCTGTGGTATCCAGTGTTTGGTCAAACACCAGTCTACACGTTGCTGTGAAGTATCTTTTTTTTTTTTTTTTTTAGATATGATTAACTTAAATCAGTAGAATTTGAATAAAGCAGATTACCCTCCGTAAAGTGAGTTAGCCTCATCCAATCTGTTGAAAGCCTTAGAAGAAAAGACTGAGGTCCCTGAAGTAGAATAAAATTCTGCCTCCAGGTTGCCTTTGTACTCAAGACTGCAAACATGGACTCCTCTGATGGAAATTCCAGGTTGCCAGCCTGTCATGCCGGCTTGGGACTTGCCACATCCCACAATCATGTGAGCCAATATTTTTAAATCTCTCTCTCTCTTTATTGGTTTAGTTTCTCTGAAGATCCCTAATACAACTCCTTAAATAATAAATGTCTCTTAACAGAAGGATGTTTTGATCCACATGAACCTCTGGAACATAAATGAATCTTGGGCTTCCCTGGTGGCGCAGTGGTTTAGAATCCGCCTGCCTATGCAGGGGACATGGGTTCAAGCCCTGGTCCGGGAAGATCCCACATCCCTGTGGAGCAACTAAGCCTGTGCGCCACAACTACTGAGCCTGTGTGCCACAACTACTGAGCCCGCATGCCTAGAGCCCATGCTCTGCAAGAAGAGAAGCCATGGCAATAAGAAGCCCATACATCACAATGAAGAGTAGCCCCCACTCACCGCAACTAAAGAAAGCTTGCAGGCAGCAACGAAGACCCAATGCAGCCAAAAATAAAATAAAATAAATACATTTATTTTAAAAAATTAAAAATTAAATTAAAAAATAAATGAATCTGAACAAAATTGAAAACCTTGTTCAAAGGTTCTCTGAACAAGAACCTTTCCTACTCTTGGTTATCCAAAGCAATCCATTGACACCCTTATAAAATAAAAGCAGCAGTCACTTGCATACTTCTGAAGAAATGTTGCCCTGGGAACTACAATTTTACTAGAAAAAATAAAATCAGAGGTAGGATCATTTAAGTAGCCACTTTCTACCTTAGTCATCTCATACTCAAAAATAAATTGCTTTGTGTTGTAATCCTTGATTTTTGGGTCAAACTGTTTTATAGAACAAGCCATGATGAAATTTTCCAGTTACTAAATTATTAATCTCTAGGAAAAAATTTGCAATTAATAATAAACACATTGAATTTTATGTCATTTATTTTAAACAAGAATGCATTTCCATGCTTCATCTGCTAATAACTTGCCTAAAGATCTATATTTTCCAATATTGAAATATTGATTGAATAAGTATTACAGAACCATTAAACACTTTATTCCAGCAATGTACAAACTTTCATATTAAAAAGGATAGATGGCGTAGATGGCACTCTCATAACTTTGGTGTAACACTTAAAATAAGAAATTTTAATTAAATGCATGCCCCTTCAAATATGTTTTAAAGCAAGGTAAGAGAGTAAGTAAATATTATAAAAAATACTTATTTTGCTCCCTTTCTTTATCTTATTATAGAAAGTCTTTAGTTAATTAGACACAATTAGAACAGTGCCTCTCTGCATTCTTCCATAAACCAGGCAATGACAAAGAATTCAAGCTAGTTATGATATCCTATATCAGCCTGTAAAAGTTTATGGAGAGGGCTTCCCTGGTGGCGCAGTGGTTGAGGGTCCGCCTGCTGATGCAGGGGACACGGGCTCTTGCCCTGGTTCTGGGAAGATCCCACATGCTGCGGAGCGGCTGGGTCCGAGAGCCATGGCCGCTGAGCCTGCACGTCTGGAGCCTGTGCTCCTCAACGGGAGAGGCCACAACAGTGAGAGGCCCTCGTACCGCAAAAACGAAAACAAAAACAAAACGTTTAAGGAGATGGAGTAAGGTAACCTATTTTCATTCAAATATTTTTTAAATGACATATGGTATAAGTAATTAACATTAATATATTATTCTATTTTAGAATATGGTAATTTCAAGAATTATCTGGGTGTTTTAAATGTGCTCTGAAATGTTGGCATGTTATTTCAGTGTTTCCATTTAAATTGCTCTTGTAATATTTTTGCACAAAAAGGACTAAGAGAGGGCTTCCCTGGTGGCGCAGTGGTTGAGAGTCCGCCTGCCGATGCGGGGGACGTGGGTTCGTGCCCCGGTCCGGGAGGATCCCGCGTGCCGCGGGGCGGCTGGGCCCGTGAGCCGTGGCCGCTGAGCCTGCACGTCAGGAGCCTGTGCTCCGCAGCGGGAGAGGCCACAGCAGTGAGAGGTCCGCGTACCGCAAAAAAAAAAAAAAAAAAAAAAAAAGGACTAAGAAAGACTATTTTGGTTGAAGAAAAGGAAGAAATAATTTGGTCGTATTTTAATGTCTTCTGTGGAAACACTAGGGATGAATTTTGTTGGTATAGTTATTAATTCAGGATATTTGAAACAGTAGTGAACAGCTGACAAGAATTAAGCAAACATGGATATTGAAAAGTTAAAACACTTTCCACGTGAATGTTTTGCAAACTTTTTCCCCATGTCATAATTTTACACTACATTCCTTGTTTTTCTTAAATAAAATAATACTTTGCAGGTTCAAAAATATATTTATTATCCTGGCATATCTCTTTATTCACAAAGGACTCTCACAGTGTAAACTATTACTTGTTTTAAAGTAACTACAGTTCTCTCTAACCAATGTCAGTACTATCAGGTATCATTTAGATTGAACTGCTTCTATTAGAAATAACTCCAAGAAAAATATTAACACTTACGTGCTGATGTGAAGGTCCCAAATCTCCACTCTGCTCTCGTTTGCAGCTGCAAATATATAGGATGATTTTGGAGACCAGGCAACATCATAAACAACATAAGTAGTAGGATAAAAACTCAAAAATGGCTTAAGATTCTCATGTTGCCATATAATAATGCCCCAATCTGCAGAACAGCTTAAGAATACATCATGGCAAAATGGATTCCATGCTATTTTATACACTGGACCCTGGAATTAGAAAAATAAATTAAATACATAGGTAAGTAGGATTTAACCTCTTATACTTTAAATTTGACCAACAAATTAAAAATGCTCAGATTTCTAAAAGCTTATACACCATGTAATTATTGTGTGGGTGTTATTTTAGCTGAAAGTAAGGCCATAAATTGAATCTCTTCCTTAAATTATGCCATTCAGAAACATAAAAATATAGTTGCTACAATACTCACTAAATATTAATACATATGATACTACTTTTAAAAATATAAGGAATGTTAAGGAAAATAAAGAGAAATAAGGGAGAAAATGAAGAAAGCATAGTTGGAACAATCATAAAAAATGTAGAGAATAGGTATATGCCAGAGACAATTTCACTCTGGGATCAGCATGTCAACATAAGCAAAGTCATTTAGAAACAAATAAAAATTGTGGCTTCTGCAACTGGCAAGAAGAAATCAAGGATACCTAGAAGCCAAATTAAATGACCCCCATATTATTGGTGTTTTCTGTATAAGAAAGCACTTAATTCAAGCTCGTATATTTAACTCTGAAGTCGTAAATTATTGCATAAAAAATGCTGTGCCTAATGATACTATTTTTTTCAGAAATACTGCAAGATAAAATTTTCCATACCTACTATAATTAAACTAACCTTGTGTCCTCTGTAGGTATCTAGATATTGCTCATTATATGAACAAGAACATTTGTGAATATGACCTTCTTCAGTGCCAGCCAAATAGATATTTGTGTCCTATAACACAAAAAAATCAAAATGCATTTATTTGCTTGTGATATATTAGTAAATGTGCTACATAGAAGATTAGATGATTCAAGATCTCTTAGAGACAATTCAAGAACCAAACTAGAAAAACTATCTAGAAGACAGTTGATTGTTGTCTTTTTCTTTCTATCATGATTTTACAATAATTAAATTACCTTGAAGGACTACTGTGCAAAGAAAATACAGATGTTTTTCTTTGCTGGAATAAAGGGTAGAAATTTATATCCTGTCTAGAAATTATATGAACAAACACTGGCTTAAAATGAGGAAGAAACTTTCTAACATTTAGAGCTACCTGACAATGGAACTAACAATCCAGGGAAATAGTAAGTGTTATTTCATTTGAACTAGTCAAAGAGAAGACAAATGACTTAACAATAACTATTTATGTACATAATGCTGAAGAAATTATTCTCTCTGGGAATGAGAGATTGAACTAGATGGAGTCTCAGACATCTTTTAACTCTAAATGTATGTACCAAATAGGGATTTAAAATGTATTTTCTACAATGAAGTCATAATCAAAAAGTCTGAAAGTCAGTGCTCAAAGTCCCGACTATGTAGAGTCAGCCTCACCTGGGACCATTGTGCAGTGGCAGAATTTCAGGCCCTGTCCCAGACCTACTGAATCAGAATCTGCACTTTAACAAGATTCCCAAGTAATTTGTAAGTACACTGAAATATGAGACCCACTGCTTAGCATACACCAGAACTTAAGAATGCAATTACTAGGGTATGTTGTATATGTAGTTTAAATTACACAATAAAGTATAATTTTTTTCCCAAAGTAGTACTACCGATTTACATTCAGCAATATATAAAATTTCCCTTTGACACACATTCTCTTCAATAGTTGGTTACATCAGAAATCTTAAAATTTGCCATTCTATTAGGTGTAAAATTATTTACACCTAATGGTTTTAAGTTCCATTTATATGGATATTAACAAGGTTGAGCACATTTTTATAAGCAAAGAAAAAAGAATGAAAAGAATTGAAAACAGTCTCAGAGACGTCTGGGACAACATTAAATGCACCAACATTCGAATTATAGGGCTCCCAGAAGAAGAAGAGAAAAAGAAAGGGACTGAGAAAATATTTGAAGAGATTATACTTGAAAACTTCCCTAATATGGGAAAGTAAATAGTTAATCAAGTCCAGGAAGCACAGAGAGTCCCATACAGGATAAATCCAAGGAGAAACAAGCCAAGACACATATTAGTCAAACTATCAAAAATTAAATACAAAGAAAAAATATTAAAAGCAGCAAGGGAAAAACAGCAAATAACATACAAGGGGATCCCCATAAGGTTAACAGCTGATCTTTCAGCAGAAACTCTGCAAGCCACAAGGGAGTGGCAGGACATATTTAGAGTGATGAAGGGGAAAAACCTACAACCAAGATTACTATACCCAGCAAGGATCTCATTCAGATTTGATGGAGAAATTAAAACCTTTACAGACAAGCAAAAGCTAAGAGAATCCAGCACCACCAAACAAGCTTCACAACAAATGCTAAAGGAACTTCTCTAGGCAGGAAACACAAGAGAAGGAAAAGACCTACAATAACAAACCCAAAACAATTAAGAAAATGGTAATAGGAACATACAGATTGATAACTACCTTAAATGTAAATGGATTAAATGCTCCAACCAAAAAATATAGGCTGGCTGAATGGATACAAAAACAAGACCCATATATATGCTGTCTACAAGAGACCCACTTGAGACTTAGGGACACATACAGACTGAAACTGAGGGTATAGAAAAAGATATTCCATGCAAATGGAAATCAAAAGAAAGCTGGAGTAGCAATTCTCATATCAGACAAAATAGACTTCAAAATAAAGACTATTACAAGAGACAAACCAGGACACTATGTAACGATCAAGGGATCAATCCAAGAAGAAGATATAACAATTGTAAATATTTATGCACCCAACATAGGAGCACCTCAATACATAAGGCAAATTCTAACAGCCATGAAAGGGGAAACCGACAGTGACAAAATCATAGTAGGGGACATTAACACCACACTTTCACCAATGGACAGATCATCCAAAATGAAAATAAGTAAGGAAACACAAGCTTTAAATGATACATTAACCAAGATAGACTTAATTGATATTTATAGGACATTCCATCCAAGAAAACAGAATACACTTTCTTCTCAAGTGGTAATTCTCCAGGATAAATCATATCTTGGGACACAAATCAAGCCTTGGTAAATTTAAGAAAATAGAAATCATATCAAGCAACTTTTCCAACCACAGTGCTATGAGACTGGATATCAATTACAAGAAAAATTCTGTAAAAAATACAAAAACATGGAGGCTAAACAATACACTACTAAATAACCAAGAGATCACTTAAAAAATTAAGGAGGAAATCAAAAAATACCTAGAAACAAATGATAATGAAAACACGACGACCCAAAACCTATGGGATGCAACAAAAGCAGATCTACGAGGGAAGTTTATAGCAGTACAATCTTATCTCAAGAAACAAGAAACACCTCAAATAAACAACCTAAACTAACACCTAAAGCAATTAGAGAAAGAAGAACAAAAACCCCAAAGTTAGCCAAAGAAAAGAAACCATAAAGATCATATCAGAAATAAATGAAAAAGAAATGAAGGAAACAATAGCACAGATCAATGAAACTAAAAGCTGGTTCCCTGAGAAGATAAACAAGATTGATAAACCATTAGCCAGAGTCATCAAGAAAAAAAGAAAGACCCAAATAAATAGAATTAGAAATTAAAAACAAGTAACAACTGACACTGCAGAAATACAAAGGATCATGAAAGATTGCTACAACCAACTATATGCCAATAAATGGACAACCTGGAAGAAATGGACAAATTCTTAGAAAAGCACAACCTTCTGAGACTGAACCAGGAAGAAATAGAAAATATAAACAGATCAATCACAAGCACTGAAATTGAGACTTTGATTAAAAACCTTCCAACAAACAAAAGCCCAGGACCAGATGGCTTCATGGGCAACTTCTATCAAACATTTAGAGAAGAGCTAACACCTATACTTCTCAAACTCTTCCAAAATATAGCAGCGGGAGGAACACACCCAAACTCATTGTACAAGGCCACCATCACCCTGATACCAAAACCAGAAAAAGATGTCACAAAGAAAGAAAACTACAGGCCAATATCGCTGATGCAAATATCCTCAATAAAATACTGGCAAAGAGAATCCAAGAGCACATTAAAAGGATCATACACCATGATCAAGTGGGGTTTATCCCAGGGATGCAAGGATTCTTCAATATATGCAAATCAATCAACGTGATACACCATATTAACAAATTGAAGGGGAAAAACCATATGATCATCTCAATAGATGCAGTAAAAGCTTTCAACAAAATTCAACACCCATTTATGATAAAAACCCTGCAGAAAGTAGGCGTAGAGGGAACTTTCCTCAATATAATAAAGGCCGTATATGACAAGCCCACAGCCAACATCATCCTCAATGGCGAAAAACTGAAAGCATTTCCACTAAGGTCAGGAACAAGACAAGGTTGCCCACTCTCACCACTCTTATTCAACATAGTTTTGGAAGTTTTAGCCACAGCAATCAGAGAAGAAAAGGAAATAAAAGGAATCCAAATCGGAAAAGAAGAAGTAAAGCTGTCACTGTTTGCAGATGACATGATACTATACATAGAGAATCCTAAAGATGCTACCAGAAAACTACTAGAGCTAATCAATGAATTTGGTAAAGTAGCAGGATACAAAATTAATGCACAGAAATCTCTGGCATTCCTATATACTAACGATGAAAAATCTGAAAGTGAAATCAAGAAAACACTCCCACTTACCATTGCAACACCAAGAATAAAATATCTAGGAATAAACCTACCTAAGGAGACAAAAGACCTGTCTGCAGAAAATTATAACACACTGATGAAAGAAATTAAAGATGATACAAATAGATGGAGAGTTATACCATGTTCTTGGATTGGAAGAATCAACATTGTGAAAATGACTATACTACCCAAAGCAATCTACAGATTCAATGCAATCCCTATCAAACTGCCAATCACATTTTTCACAACTAGAACAGAAAATTTCACAATTTGTATGGAAACACAAATGACCCTGAACAGCCAAAGCAATCTTGAGAAAGAAAAACGGAGCTGGAGGAATCAGGCTCCCTGACTTCAGACTATACTACAATGCTACAGTAATCAAGACAGTATGGTACTGGCACAAAAACAAATATAGATCGATGGAACAGGATAGAAACACCAGAGATAAACCCACGCACCTATGTTCACCTTATTTTTGATAAAGAAGGCAAGAATATACAGTGGTAAAAGACAGCCTCTTCAATAAATGGTCCTGGGAAAACTGGAGAGCTACAAGTAAAAGAATGAAATTAGAACACTCCCTAACACCATACACAAAAATAAACTGAAAATGGATTAAAGACCTAAATGTAAGGCCAGATACTATCAGGAAAACATAGGCAAACACTCTATGACATAAATCAGAGCAAGATCCTTTTTGACCCACCTCCTAGAGTAATGGAGATAAAAACAAAAATAAACAAATGGGACCTAATGAAACTTAAAAGCTTTTGCACAGCAAAGGAAACCATAAACAAGACAAAAAGACAACCCTCAGAATGGGAGAAAATATTTGCAAATGAAGCAACTGACAAAGGATTAATCTCCAAATTTACAAGCAGCTCGTGCAGCTCAGTATCAAAAAAAACAAACAACCCAATCCAAAAATGGGCAGAAGACCTAAATAGACATTTCTCCAAAGAAGATTGTCAACAAACACATGAAAGAATGCTCAACATCATTAATCATTAGAGAAATGCAAATCAAAACTACAGTGAGATATCATCTCACACAGGTCAGAATGGCCATCGTCAAAAAATCTAGAAACAATAAATGCTGGAGAGGGTGTGAAGAAAAGGGAACCCTCTTGCACTATTGGTGGGAATGTAAATTGATACAGCCACTATGGAGAACAGTATGGAGGTTCCTTAAAAAACTAAAAATAGAACTACCATACAACCCAGCAATCCCACTACTGGGCATATACCCTGAGGAAAACATAATTCAAAAAGAGTCATGTACCACAATGTTTATTGCAGCTCTATTTACAATAGCTAGGACATGGAAGCAACCTAAGTGTCCATCAACAGATGAATGGATAAAGATGTGGCACATATATACAATGGAATATTACTCAGCCATAAAAAATAAACGAAATTGAGTTATTTGTAGTGAGGTGGATGGACCTAGAGTCTGTCATACAGAGTGAAGTAAGTCAGAAAGAGGAAAACAAATACCATATGCTAACACATATATATGGAATAAAAGGTCATGAAGAACCTTGCCCCTTGCCTAGGGGCAAGACGGGAATAAAGATGCAGACCTACCAGAGAATGGACTTGAGGACATGGCAAGGGGGAAGGGTAAGCTGGGACAAAGTGAGAGTGGCATAGACATATATACACTACCAAATGTAAAATAGGTAGGTAGTGGGAAGCAGCCGCATAGCACAGGGAGATCAGCTCGGTGCTTTTTGACCACATAAAGGGGTGGGATAGGGAGGGTGGGAGGGAGGGAGATGAAAGAGGGAAGAGATATGGGGACATCTGTATATATATAACTGATTCACTTTGTTATAAAGCAGAAAGTAACACACCATTGTAAAGCAATTATACTCCAATAAAGATGGTAAAAAAAAATTTTAAGTAAGTAAATACATAAAAATGGTGTAAACATCACAATTAAAAGGCTGAGATTGTAAGATTGGATAAAAAAGCAAGACAACTATATGCTACCTAAAAGAAACATACCAAATATAAAGACACAAATAGGTTAAATGTAAAGGATGGGAAATGATAAACCATGCTAATACTAGTTAAAAGAAAGCTGGAGTAGGGCTTCCCTGGTGGCGCAGTGGTTGAGAGTCCGCCTGCCGATGCAGGGGATACGGGTTCGTGCCCCGGTCTGGGAAGATCCCACATGCCGTGGAGCGGCTGGGCCCGTGAGCCATGGCCGTTGAGCCTGCTCGTCCGGAGCCTGTGCTCCACAATGGGAGAGGCCACAACAGTGAGAGGCCCACATACCGCAAAAAAAAAAAAAAAAAA